CTTGCCAAGATGAATAGCACTTTGACTGTCGTAATAAAGCACATACCTCTCTTGAGCACAACCAAGTTTCCCCAAGAATCTCCTCATCCAGATCAATTCTTTGCAAGCTTCAACAGCCACAATAAGCTCAGCCTCTGTAGTAGATAAAGCAACACATTTTTGCAACCTAGATTGCCAAGACACAGCTCTCCCTACAAAGGTAATCAAGTAGCCTGAAGTAGACTTACGAATATCAATATCACTGGCCATGTCTGAATCAGTGTAACAACAAAGAATAGGATTCCATGTACCAAAATAAAAACTCAGACTAGAAGTGCCACAAAGATATCTCATAATCCACTTTACAGTATTCCAATGCTCTCTTCCCAGATTAGAAAAAAAAGGGCTAACAATACCAACAACATGAGCAATATCTGGTCTTGTACACACCATTACATACATTAAACTACCAACAACTGAAGCATAATGAACTTTCTTCATATCTTCCTTCTCAACATCACAAGAAGGACAATGTCTAGTACTCAATTTGAAGTGCATAGCTAAAAGTGTACTGACAACCTTAGCTTTGTCCATGTTAAATCTACGAAGTACTTTTTGAATGTACTTTTCTTGTGACAACCACAATTTCTTGGCATCTCTATCACGGATAATCTGTTTTGCTGGTCCCAAGTCTTTCATAGCAAAAGACTTATTCAACTTTTGCTTCAACTTTTTAATCCTGCAAGTATTATGACCAACAACAAGCATGTCATCAACATAAAGCAAAACGATAATGAAGTCATCATCAGAGAATTTTTGCACAAAACCACAATGGTCTGAAGAAATCTTCTTGAAGCCTGCTGACTCATAAAAGAACCAAACTTCATGTACCATTGCCTGGGAGCTTGTTTTAAACCATACAAGCTCTTCTTCAACTTGCAAACATAATTCTTTTTTCCCTTGACTTCAAAGCCTTTCGGCTGCTCTATATAAATTTCTTCATCTAAGTCACCATGGAGAAAAGTAGTTTTAACATCCATCTGTTCAACCTCCAAGTCCAGACTTGCAGCTAAGCCTATAACTACACGGATGGATGACATCTTCACAACTGGAGAGAATATCTCATCAAAATCAATTTCCTTTTTCTGGTTAAAGCCCTTCACAACTAATCTAGCTTTGTATCGTGAAACCGAGTTACCATTTTCATGTTTCACCCTAAAAACCCACCCTTTTTTCAAAGCTTTTCGATCTTTAGGTAACATGACCAAATCAAAGGTATGATTATCATGTAGAGACTTCATTTCATCCTCCATAACATCAAACCACATTTATTTTTCTTCACTTTCCATGACTTTATCAAGACTATCTGGTTCTCCCCCGTCAGTCAAGAGTACATACTCATTGGGAGAATAACGAGATGAAGGTATTTTCTCTCTAGTAGAGCTTCTGAGAGAACTCTCGGGAGCATCAATAATAGTTGGTTGCTCACCAACTACATCGTCTTGCACTGGAGCATCAACGACATACTGGCCATTCTAAATATGATCATTATCTTCAATATCAATTTGAAGATTTTCACCTAGTGGAATAGTCAGAAGCACCGGATCAACATCAACTAGGCTCTCACTAGTCTGAGAATCAACTTTCTCAGCTTTGTCAATATCTTCAATTGTTTGGTCTTCAAAGAACACAATATCACGGCTTCTAACAAGTTTCTTCTCAACTAGATCAAAGAAACGATAGTCGAATTCATTTTGACCATAACCAACAAAGATACATTGCCTAATTTTAACATCCAACTTTGACCTCTCATCCTTAGAAACATGCACAAGACTTTACACGCCCAAAAACTTTAAGATGATCATAAGAAACGTTCTTACCAAACCAAACTCTGTCAGGAACATCACTATTCAAAGTAACAACAGGAGATAAATTGATAACATAGGCAGCAGTATTAAGTGTTTCTGCCCAAAAGGAATTTGGCAACTTAGCATCTGATAGCATACATCTAACCCTCTCAACAAGAGTTTTGTTCATCCTCTCCGCCAAACCATTTAGCTGAGAAGTCTTTGGAGGAGTTTTCTGATGCCGAATACCCTGCTCTCTGCAATATCTATCAAAAAGACCAATATACTTACCGCCATTATCAGAATGGATGCATTTCAGTTTCTTC